ATAATCTGATTCATGTTTTTTTTAAATGTAATTTTTCTATAAAAAAGGCAAATGCTTTCCCACTGTACATAACCATGGGTATAATAGCATGGTGACTGAAATTTCCTGTAAGTTGTAGTGGGCCAGTAGAGACACTTTCTCTGAATAAGGCTGTCATGAGAGTGGGGAAGAGTGTAAAACGTCCATGCAGGGACTGATTGCCAGGAACAGAAAAGGAGGAAGGGCTTAGGAGCTTCTTCTGCTTTGTGGCTGCGGCTGAGACTGGCCCTGCCTCTGCATGTTTGAAGCAGCAGGAGTGCAAGTTCACAGGCAATTGCTGCTTCTCTCGGGGGTCATCTTTCTTCCTACCAAGGGGACCCTGGTGCACAGGCTGTACCCCTTTGGAGGATTTTCTCCTACATATGGTCTCTTGAAGAAGTTTATTTCACTTTTCAGGCATCATAGTCACTTCTCTTAGAATGATATCCAAATCTTTATGTCCTCCTTTCCCTTGAGAAGATTTTTCATGTTTAATATCTTACGTGCTATTTCCCTGTGCTAATGCAATATGTTAACAACAATTGTGCATGTGCAATTGTGTAGTGCTGGGCTGTGTATAGTTCACTAAAATGATTGAAAAATTATACATACGTAGCTTGACTGCTTTCCTGCATTTCAATAGCATGTCTCATATTGTCTGCTGGATAGCTCTGACCCTGGGATGTTATCATAACCACAAACAGCCTGCCTGTAATTGAACCCATCTTGCATTTCCCAAACCAACTTGTTTCTGACCTCTTCTGCCTTTTTTTAATAACATCAGCATTTACTGTCTTCCAAGTTCCAAGATTTTTTTTTTTTTTTAATTTTTTTTTGTCCTTCTTGAGACCGGCCGCACCGCGCTCAGCCAGTGAGTGCTGTGAGCGCACCGTCCATCCCTATATAGGATCCGAACCCGCAGCGGGAGCACTGCTGCGCCCCCAGCGCCACACTCTCCCGAGTGTGCCACGGGCTCGGCCCAAGTTCCAAGATTTGAAGCAATCCTTGACCCCTCTGTCTTATGTTCTCACCAAATCCAAGCACTGAGATTGTTCCTCCTCACCTGGTGGAATGCCAATATACTATTTTGCTCTTTCCTTTCATTACCTATTGGCATGTTTGTATCCATTTAACTCACAGTAGGATATATCAACCACAGCTTCTCCTAAGTGTAGGTTCCTTTCTCAGTATACCCTCTGGGACACTGATAACTACTCTGTAAGAGGGTACTTAAAAACGTTTGTGGAAAACAGAATTAAAAGATAACACAAGTCTTTCCACGAACTTTTCAAAGTACCATCATATATGTGATGCTTCATCAAGCCTATTTTATTTAGCAGAGTCTTTTCTGTATTATTTTTGCAGTGGACCCTTTCTTTTCTTAAAGAAATATTACGTAGAGTCCCACTATGTAAAAGAGATAATCATGAAGATTCTCTGGTTGAAGATGCACTGAAGGGAGCAAAATCCCCTGGACCTGCCCTGGGCTTTTGAGGCAGCCTTCCTGGAACTCAGGAGATCCTTTGAGGCAGTTTGAAAATACAGATTTGCAGAATAAACAACTTGGAATGATATATATGTTTTCTTCAAAAATGTCTTTTCTTAAAATTGTTTTTAGTTGTTATCAATTTATGTAAACCTTTGAATCTAATCACACAAGTTCACATGAAGTTCTTAAATGCAGTGTCTGCCCTTCATCCCTGTCTGGGCTAATGGTATTTCCCCTGCCTTGAGTGTCTGGAACGTCATTCATGCATCTCTGCTAATCTGAATTCTACTTTTCTCAGCCCCAGTCCCACCTCTTCTTAAGTTTCTGGATCATCCCTGATCTCAGCAATTTTTCTTTCTTCAAATTCAGAAGTATCTTTCTTCTTACATTTACCTTGTACCATCTTAAACTTTTGTCTTTTCAGGTGTGTTCAATCTCTACCACTTAGGTAACAGGCCACTTAAGGGAAGAATCAAGTCTCTTGCCACTTTTTATCCTCAGCATCTGGTGTATTATGCCTCCCATAGCATTTGCTTATTTGGTATATTTCAATGATAACCTACAGCAGGAAATAATACCTGTAAGCCCATCAATTGCACTTTCATTAATATAAATTTAAGTTAAATATCCAGAGCAGTGCTTTTAAGTTAGGAAAACCATTCACTAAGACTTTAATTGCAAGCATTATTTTTTTCTCCAATTATCATTAAGCCTACAACTACCTTCTCTGACTATCTTTCATTAAATTATGTTGGAAGTTGTTTTGGGGAATGACAACAGATGGTTCAAGTGGGATGTTCTTAGTCTAGACCAGAAAAAGTGTTTTAGCCCATCTCGCAGCTTTTCAGCAAAGCCACACATAAATCATATTCAAGATTATGAGAAACTTATATTGACATATAAATCAAATGTTGTCCTTCCCCTTTAAACCCTCTTTAAATATCTTGGCATTACATGGCTATGTGTGACCTAGCCCTCTCTACCTCTCCATCCTAATCTCCACCACCCACCTCTCACTAACCACACCCTGGTCACAATAGCAGCCTTTCGGTTCCCCAGATTGCCAAGCTCCTTCCCTCCTCCTGACTTTGTGCTAGTGGCACGCTCTGCTCAGATGTCTTCCCCATTTCTTTCCTTGATCAATTCCTGTCATGCTTAGAGATTCAGTCTGCTTGGCACTTCCTTAAGAGAGTTCTTCTGTGATCTCCCAGAATAGGTTAAGCTTACTCGTTATGTGCTCTCATACCATGATTGTTTTTATATATTAACTGTTAATTAATTTGTTTTGTGTCTGTGTTCCCCATTAGACTATAAACTCTAAGATGTCAGAGACTATACAAATCTTATGCTCTATAGTACTTTTAATGACTAGAATAAAACAACAACAACAACAACAAAAACCGGGGGGTGGGGTGGGGAGGAAGATATAACAACCACAACTTTTTTTTTTTTAAGTTCTTACAACAAGAAAATGGAGGGGACACACCTGGGTGGGAGGGGCGAGAGGGAGGAGGGAGGGAGGTTTCGGTGATGGGACACAATAACTAACTACATTGTATATTGATAAAATAAAAAAAATAATAATAATAAAAAAAATAAAACGAAACAACCAAGCATTGTGCAACAAAAATCTTCACTTGCTCCCAGACAGAATTTGAATTGCTTAAATGCTTGGGTATAATATGAAAATTTAAAAATATTTGTTTTGTTTAAAATTGATTCATTTATGCATGGATATTACTATAATTCTTTTTAACATTGTTATTTTGAAAATATATGCCATTGGGTCAAAAGTGCAAGAAAGCAGCCACGTTGCTATGAAATGTGTACATGTTGAAACCTTTTAGTATATGATTAAAACTAAAATTAATGTGGTCTCCTTCCCTAAAGTCTCCAGCAGCTCCACTGATATATCCATGCCATGTTTCTGTGTCCGTTAAGTCTTGAATTACCCTGCTGAGTCAGACAATTGGAGTACAAATTAAAGCTAACTGCAGAGGAGATGTTTCTGATACAAAAAATATGACCCTAAAAAACCCAGGCCTTGCATAGCTTTCTGCCAGCGTGTTAGCAGTTCACCAGATTTGCATTGAACAGTCCAAAGTTTCATACACTCTCACACTTCCTCCACTATTACTGTCTTAACTAGAATGGGTACAAGACTCAACAGGTTTGTCGGTCCCTTTACTAGCACAAATGATTATTCAGTTAAAAGAAAGAGAAGCGAAAATCTAATTCTATTCTGTAACAGCTTTCAAACCCATAAATACTTCTGCATTATTCTTGTCATACTCCCCTTTTCTCATTTTATCACTATATATTCAACGAGAAAAATGACAGTATGAATACATGTTAGGTTTTGAGGGTAGTTATCAAATACACACGTAACTCGCAGCAAGAAATATACTTGGATGACATCAAGCCTTTCACTATAAATAGTGACTGACCTGCATACTTCTAAATTATCAGACCCATCCTCACAGGTGGCTGGAGGCTTCTGAACAGAATTATTCCCCTGGAGCCCTGCATCATCCATGGACTTGCTGTTTTTTGTAACTGCCAGTATTTCAGTGCTGGAATCGGCTTCTGGAAATCTTTTCTTGATTGTTTCATTTTGCCTAAGACTGTGCAAGAGCTGAGGATCTCTGTGATGATATCTACCTTTGCTCTCCTCATAGCTGCTCGAGGATTTCTTAATCTCCAACGGTCCTCTAGGCTGGGCAAGACCGCATTCTCGGTACCTTGTGCCTTTTCCTTTGCGTAGATTTAAAGAGCAACTCTCACATTCCATCAGCTCTTGCTGCTTTATACCTTTGGATCTCAAATCGACAAGCTCAGTTCCCTTAGGCGTGGAAGACCCATCCATGTTTCCACATGGCTTATTATTGTTTCTCTTTCTTCTTTTTGACAGTCTGAATTTAACCTGAGCTCTTCTTTTTGCCTGAATCCAGTGATTTTCATCTGTGGAAGATGAATCTGAAGAATCTGTGTAAAGCTCCTTCCATCTGGGGCTTGAGATTTGGAGATGAAAATCATTTCTTCTCCCTTTGACCTGTTCTTCTGCCTGCTCGTATCTCGCAGAGGCCCTTCTCCTCCTCCTAGGCCTCTGTTTTACTGGTTTCTTACCAGACTCCTTCCTAGCAGGGCTCAGCACTATGACAGGGGTGCAGTGCTCAAATGCATCTTCTGACATGTCATGCAAGATGGCAGATCTAGACAGAGCAGCAGGTAAAGGATGGGAAATGGAAATGGAGAGGAAAGCCATGGGAAAGCAGAGAGAAAGAGAGAACGATGAAAATGATAGCATGGACCAGAATTTGGTAAGTAAAGATCAACCGAAGAAAATGAACTAAAGGAAAAAAAAAAAAGCCAGTATAAATTGTCCATGGACAATGCAAGGCAGAAGCAAGAGCCACACATTCCAGAATAAAAAACAAGAATACAAAACACTGGTCTAAAAAATATTGAATAAGATCATTTGCTCAGCACTTACCTGCAGATGTCCTGAGTGGATGGACACACAGACAACCTGGACTGGCTTCTGGGAGCTGTCCCTGTTGTTGGGCTGCTTGCCTGGAGAAACAAGTTAGATAATTTGGCATCTTGGTTAAGGTAATACATGGTCGATATCTTGCTTTTTTTCCACATGTTTAAAAAATTACAACAAATGTGGCTGCCAGTCATGTTGCTCACAACACAGCTCACAGAATACAGGAAGTTAGAGGGTTCGTTTTGCAAAAGTAAAACTTATTTGAGGAACTTGGAACAGCTGAGATGCTGTGCCACTTCACTGTTGCTTCATTTATGAGAGAGGAAGATGATTCCACAAGTTTCTATTCTATTTACTGTAATCTTTTGAGTAGAATAGCTCAATTTGCCTTGGGAACAAATGAGTAACACTTGAAGATCCTAAGATACAAAAGACTAAAGTGCTGTTATGTGACAAGGATGATGACAATGTGGGAAGCCCAAATAATCAAATAGCCATTAGATTGCTAGATACAGTCTGGAGTTGACATCAAGGCCCCAGGAGATAACATATTTGAAAATACTTTGTAATATTTAAAAGCCTGCAGTTATTAATATTTTTATCTCATCATAATATCTCATCATTTGCCAAAATTAATAAAATCTATCCGCTGTCACTATACTGACCTTTCATATCTTTAACCTGGTGACCATACTGAGCCTGAGAATAAAAGAACCTGAAATAGGTCAGATTATTAGTATAAAGTTGAGTCCATTTCACTAAATTCCTACCTTTGAAACACAGCATTTCCTTCACTCTGTTTAACTTCTTTAGCCTGTTGTGTTTACTATAGATGATAAAGATAAATCAAAAGCTAGAATGTAGTGGTGATTTACCACATGCCTGGCATTGTTTGGTGGCTTTTTTAACTTCACAAGTGAGAAATAATAATACTAACAATTTTGAGTGAATATTACATGCTAGTCCCTGTTTTAAACCATTTCAATATATTTATTCACTAATAACATAAATGTATGTAGTACATACTATAATTATTTCCATGTTTCAGATGAAGAAACCGAGAAATTGGGGCTGCTTCTCACTGATAGGTGGTGCAGCAGAGATTTGGACCAGGCATCTGGCTCTACCACCTGTTTTCATATTCACCAGCCACACAGCTTCTCCTCCTCTGAAGAGGAGGAAACAAAGAGAGTCCTGTGTTCAGATTCAGACCTGTCTGACTGCATAAATAAAAAACACAATTTTGCCACCAAGAAAATAACAGTGAAAGTTGAAAGATTAACCTTAAATTTCAAAGTAACTTGAAAAATCCCCATATTAGAGATATAGTCTGATGGTTGTGGCATCCAGAGAAAGAGAAACTAAATCTGACCCATGAGGTCAGAAAAAACTTGCACAGGAAGTATAGGAAGCTGAGTAATGGACCACCAATGATACCCTAATCTGGAACTTGTGAATGTTTCCTTACATGGCAAAAGGGATTTTGCAGGTGTGACTAAGTTAAAGACCTTGAGATAAGGAGATTGCCCTGAATTATCCTGGTAAGCCCAGTGTAATCATGAGGATCCTTATAAGAGAAAGGAAATAGAGTTAGGGTCAGAGAGAGAAGATGAAGGAAAGAAGCAGATGTCAGAAAGGAAGGAAGATGCAGATGGCAGACTACAGGTGCCCAGGGCTCATTCCTCCCACGGGAAAGGACCAGAACAATTAGCAGACAGCTAAATATTGACAGAAGTATCTATGAGAGAGTACAGGAGTGCAGCAGAGACTGGTGAGATCTCCGTGGAGCATGAAAGCCCAGGATGGTGGCATAGAGAGGAGAGAAAGGCACATGGCTTTACCCACCACATCTCTGACACCAGGATCAGTGCAAGAAGAATTTTCCTGTTTGGCAAAAGGTAGGCAAAGGATGCACACCAACCCCCACCCTCACCAGAGAGACCAGCAGATCCTTTGGCAAGACAAGCCCAGAGCCAAGTGTGGGGATTGGCTTAGAACACACACTCTAGAACAGTAGCACAAACTATGTACTCCCCAACCCCAAACCTCATGACCCAAGGCGAGGCAGGACCGTGCCATCTTGAAGCCAGAGTCCTTGCTGGGAATGCACCTTGCCCTGGGGCCAGTAGCCATGGTGCTTCCCCAGCCTTAAGGCTCTGCCCTCATCCCAGTGCACTCACAGGAGAGCCTACCATATCCTAATCCCAGCAGCTTGAAGCCTAGGTTCACAGCAGCTGTGTCTCTGATTCTGCATTCTGGGAAGCCAGCCCTAGTCCTGCTGAATAGATGTAACCCTATGTCCCTGGCCAGAGATCAGACAGGCAGACCTGCGTCAGGCAGACCAACCCCCATTCTGCTCCCTAACCCATAGCCCTGTCATCTGACTGAGTGGTGTGCCCCTGAGTCCACAACCTGGAAAAACAGGTCACGGGTCTCTACCCTAATGAATATGCCCTCAGGCCAGTGGAAATAAAGCTCATCTGTGCCCTCCCAGAGAAGCAGTCAGGCAGTTCCACCCTGAATAGTCCTTCCTAGTGGCCTTGCCAACATCACCAGAAATAAGTGGATGGGCCACCTCACTAGAAGTCTGCCTCGCTGCCCCGCCCACAGGCTAGAAGCAGCTGCACAGGCCTACTCACTGCAGACATTGCCGACAGTCTAAGAAGTGGGTGGATGAGCCCTCTCACTGCAGGCCTGCCTAGGAGCTCTGGCCGCCACTGGGAAAGCAAGTAGACAGGCCCCTGCAATGTGCGCCTTCCTAATTGGCCTTGCCAACAGTCCCAGCCTTGCCGACAGTCCAAGAAGCAGTTGGATGAACCTCCTCATTGTGGGCCTGCCTAGAGGCATTGCCCACTACCCAAGAAGCAGCTGGAGGAGCCCCGTTACTGCAGCTCTGACTAGTGGCTTCACAAACTTCCTGAGAAGCAGCTCGGAAGCTCGGCCCTTGGCAGACTAGCTCTTGAACCACTGAGGGGAGCACAGTCTAACATTAGGCCCCAAGAAGTAGAAAAGAAAGGCCACCAGCAGACCTGCACTTAGGTGACTGAGCCAAAGCTCATCGATGCTCCTGGCTGAGAGAAACAGCTGAGGTGTCATGCCCCTGGAAGACCAATCCCAATCCTTTGAGCTATCACACACACATGTATACAAGTAAGAAAGAGCGTGGCTGACATTCCCCTAGTAGGCCCACCCCTGAACAGAGAAGCAGCACAGTGACACTGCCACTGGCAAACCAGTCTCAGAGGCCCTGATGCCTACACATCAAGACTGAGAATAGATCCAGCAACTGCATCCCCAGTGAGCCAGCTCCTGAGACAACTGACCCACAGGATGCATGTACATACATCTGGCCTGTGAACCAACCCAGCAATCTCTCCCCCAGCAAAGCTGTGCTACTGCCACCACAAACCTCCAAAGCATAGGTTACTCGCAGACGTAGCAAAAGTGGATTAAAGCTGAAGAAATTATACAGAGTCTACACTACTGTATCCATTCTGATCAAAGCTATTGCACTGTACCCAATCAACACCCTAGGATGCATTTTCAGGTGAAAATCTTTCCCTACACAAGCCACCCCACAAAACTCAGAGATAACTGTTCCACCAGATACAGAGATATCAACACACAGAAACAAGAAACATGAAAAAACAAAGTAACATGACACCACAATACAAAACAAAACAAAAATGCTCCAGTAACCAATCCCCCAAAATTGGAAAATGCTGACTTCTCAGAAAATAATTCAAATTAATGATCTTAAAGGAACTCACTGAGATACAAGAGAATACAGACAACAGTTCAATGAAATCAGAAAAAAAAATCACAATTTGAATGAGAAATTCAACCAAGAGATAGATATCATTAAAAAAAATCAAGCAGAAATTTTGGAATTGAAGAATTCATTGAATGAGATACAAAATACATCTGAGAGACTCAACAAAGGACTAGATCAAGCAGAAGAAATAATTTCTGATCTTGAACATAAGTTTGAAATAACACAGGAAGACAAAAAAGAAAAAGAATAAAAAAGAATGAACAAAGCTTGAAAAACACATGAGATACTATTACACAAACTAATATTCAAATTATGGGGCATTCTAGAAAGATAAGAAAACAAAAAAGATATTGAAAATCTATTTAATGAAATAATAGCTAAAAACTTCCCTAGTCTTAGGAAAGATACAAATATTCAAATCTGGGAAGCTCAAAGGCCCCAAATGGATTCAACCCAAATAGGTCATCTCTAAGATACATTGTAGTCTAACTATCCAAAGTTAAAGGCAAAGAGAGAATTCTAAGAATTCTAAAACAAGCAAGAGGAAAACATCAAGTCACTTATAAAGGAATCCCAATTAGACTAACAGCAGACTTCTCAGCAGCAACCCTACAGGCCAGGAGAAAATGGGATGATATATGTACGAAGTACTTAAAGAAAAACCTGCCAGCCAAGAATACTATACTCAACAAAGCTACCCTTCAGAAATGAGGGAGAAATAATGTCTTTCAGAGAAGGAAAAATTAAGGAAATTCATCACCACCAAACTTGCCTTACAAGAAATGCTTAGAGGAATCCTACATTTAGAAGAGAAAGAATGATAACCACCAACATCAAAATCAAGCAGAGATTTCCAGAAATCAACCTGAAAATAGAAAACTTATTATAGAGTAAATACACAAATTATGAAGAGAAAGGAATCAAACCTCATCAATACAGAAAACCACTAAACTGCAAGGATAAATAATAAGAGAGAGAGAGAGGAACAAAGGATACACAAAACAATCAGAAAACAACCAACAAAATGACAGGAGTGACACCTCACATTTCAAAAATAACCTTGAATGTAAACAAATTAAATGCCCCTAATTAAAAGGCAAGGACAGCCTGAATGGATAAAAAAACAGGATCCACCTACATGCTGCCTATAAGAAACCCACCGTACCTACAAAGATACATATAGACTGCAAGTGTCCCTAAGAAGGGATCAAAAAAGATCTTCTATGCAAATGGAAAAAAAGTGAGCAGGATTAGCTACACTATTGTCAGATAGTACAGACTTTGAATCAAAATCTGTACTGAAAGACAAAGAATGCACTACATAATGACAGAGGGATCATTACAGCAAGAGGATATAACTATTACAAATATATATGCACACAACACTGGAGCACTCAGATATATAAAGAAAGTATTGCC